ATTGATTATATCATGCGACTTTTCGCCCTGTGATAACCCTTCATGCCGTGTTTTAATCATTATTTTTCTTTACTTCTCCAGATGGCCACTCAAAAAGAATGCCAAGATTGTAAGAAAAAAATCGGGGTAGCCAGCAAGACATGTAAGCACTGTGGTGCCAGGCAGCCTTACAAGCAAAAACTGGAGAGAATAAAGAAAAAACTCTCTGCTGGCTGGAAAGAGAGGCAGAAAAAAAACAGCAGCGTCAACAAAGTATATGATGCAACAGCTCTGCTGGTAGGTCTTTTTTAGGACCATTTTTGTACAATAGTAAGTAATCCCTGGTCTTTACCATGTATTGATGACACTGACCTTTTCAGTGTTGCAGTATTTATACAATATCCAACAATATATATATTATGAAATGGTGACATTTTGGCAAAATCTTTGTTTCAGAAATAGCATTTTGGGATGGTTCCATGTTCTTGTACTAGCCTCTCACTAATTAGAGTATTTTTTAGGTGTGATGTTGCTATAACTACAGTATGTCACTCTGATTCTCAGTGTATCGCTTATTTATGTATCAAAGCAAAAAATCTGTTACTGTGAGCTTTTTTTCAGCCAATACAGTTTACTAAGATTTTGTTTTACGCTGAATTAGAGGTTATGTATCACATTTATATCATTATAATTTAGTGTCTATTTTGTTCCAGCTCCACAAATGGGAACTTCTGGAGCGTCACCCGATCCTGCTCCTTGCCAGGAGAACTGCACATGGCTTTTCAGCTGAATGCTTCTGTCCATGGCAAATTAATGCAAAAGATGCTAAAGATGCCCTTGTCACAATAAAGAGGATTTATGAAAGTCTTCTTAACAGTAACGTACACAAATGTGCATGCATGCTGTGCTTCCACCTAAGAGTTCCTTACGTGACTGCTGAATGACAGCTTATTAGAGAATCCTGGGTTGACATGAGAGGAATTTTTAAAAAGAGGGAAAAAGGACAAGTTAGCTTCACTAACAGCACAAAGTTAAAGTTAAAAGAATTTGACATCACACTACATATAAATTTGTTCATGGAATTTCAGCCTCCTTCCCGCAATGAATGGGAATGAACTGCAAACTGTTGGTAGTTTTTGGCCCTTTTAGAACAATGTCCACTCTTTCTTATGTCAAATGTCCATGTCACATTTTTTTCTTTCCAAAAGTGACGATGGGAGCCGAAGCAGCAGTCAAAACTGGGGAGATTCCAGCCCCAGACAATGAGGAGTCTTCACAGACTCCACCACCAGACCACCTTGCATCTTACCCAGCGTCGGATTCCACGTCCCACTCTCTGACCTGTCCTGTGTCCCCCTCTCCTCCTCATCCTGCTTCCTCATCCTACTGGACTTCTCCTTTGTCCCCCTGTCTAACCCCCCGTGTCATCATCTGTGACTCCTCCTGTATCCTCCTGTCATATGCCTCCTGTGTCATCATCGCTGACCCTTTCTGTTTCTTCCAAATTCTGCTCTCCTGTGTCCACTCAGCTAGACACTCCTGACTCAGTATCGTCCTCACAGAAAAAAGGACCTGAAAGCCAGAAAGCAGACACCAGTGGTATGTGTGGTTTTATCAGATTATCAGTAACACTGTATCAGCCTATAAGTCAAAACTAATGTGTTTGACATTTTGCAGAATGAAACTAGTAGCCAGCCCGGTTCATCCAGGTCTTCTCTGACAGGGCCGGCCTTGTTCTTGTTTAAAAACATACATTCTGTGTAAGAATTCTAGGACAGGCCCACCGTTTTTCAGTTGAATACATTTAACACAGTTATGTCCATATTTACATGTAAATAATTTTTGTTGCCGTAATTATTCCTAGGGGGATAGTTACTAAACCTGTTGCAAATTACCATCATGCTCAGAAAATCTTTATATTTATTTTATTTTATTTTTTTATTTAGCAGGATAATTACTAATGCTAATGATATAAATGAGCACAGCCACAGCTGTGTTAATATGAATACAACTTGGCTTTGGATCTGCTGCATGAAGCCTGTTGCGTACGTGCACAAAGAGATAATGCAGAAGAAAGTCAAAGTTTACAGTGACTAAACTTTAATATGGTTGAAGAAATCAACAAACACTGTTCAGATCGTCAGTCACGTAGTCTCCTGTCAGTCAGATCGTCTTTTATTTCGTTCAGTAATTGAAGCGTGACCAGATCTGACAGCCTGTAAGGTCCCTCACATTCTGCTCTGGTGAGTGATGCGCTTTACAAACATCCCCTCCCTCATCAAACGTTCTTAACTCTGACGAGATCTCAGGTGATTAACGGCTGCCACATTGACTGTTGACTGCTGCACATGCAGCTCCCATGCAGCATACATTGTTATATTCTTATATATTTTTTATTATATTGCTGCATTTGCTGCTTAAAGTGCCTTAGATTTTGTGTTATTTATTTATCTACTTTATATTTCATTTGTATTTTGTGGCATTCATGTGGACGGCGAAGTAAGAATTTCATTGTACAGGGAAACACGATTGCTAACTGTGCATATGACAAATAAACACTTTGACCTTGACGGCAGTGCTGCAGATTTTACACCTGCTTTCCCCTGATGTTAAATTTCAGCCACAGTTCCCTCTGTCACAGCAGTAGTAATAAGGTACTGAAGGTGTTTGTATAAATTTCTATTCTGTCCTCCCCCATTTTTGTGTCCCTGAAAGGGAGAACCTTCAAATACATATTGCATGAGACCCAACACACATTCATATGCTGTACAGCATTTCTTCTGTTTCTGTACAGCAAAACCTCACTGACCCCTTAGTAAATATGAACACATGCAATATCACTGTTTAGCACCAGAAAATGCACCACAAACTCTTAGTAAATATCCCCCATAGGCTTCACACTGAAGCTCCACTCAGAGGAGATCATAAAAATAGGCCAGTGTTTACAAGAACAATAATTAAAGCAAGCATTACTCCACCATGGGTATGTTGCTTTAGGACAAACTTGAAAAAAATGTGAATCTGGGCTTTAAGAAAAAGAAGGAGAACACACTAGTGTGGTGTGTTGTGGGAATTCCTTTGTCTTAGATATGTTACTGCAACATCAGTAGAAACGGTCGTGTTCACTTGTTGGAGTTGGCAGTAATTCTGATTGCATAAAGTTCCAGTTTCATTTGAAATCGTTCCTTTAACCATGACCTTCAGGGCAGTGTTTAGAAAATATCGGCAAATTATTAAAATCACTTAATTCTTTTCAGAATGTCCAGTTCATCAAGGGTCCACAAGTTTCCCCTACAAAAAAATACTGGGCAAAAGAATCAGGGAGGTTTGTGATCCAGAAAAGCTCCTGACACACACACACACACACACGCACACGTATATCTCTATTAGTAACAATTTTCAAACATGTTATTTGTTCAACAGGTAGTCCTACTTTGACCATTATTTTGCAGGCTTCACTTGGATTTAATACTGTTTACATTTTAGATGAATGCACATCAGCTGACCTGTACTGCTGTTATTCATAAGATTAATTTCACATTTTTCCTTTCTGTCTTTGCTAAGGGCCGTGCTGAGGTGTTGGTACAGTGGCACCCTTGCTCTGGATGGTGTGTATGTTCTTATACCGCAGCTGATAGGGCAGGTTGTCAAACTAACAACAAAGGGAAAAAAGCAGAGCAGTGACAGTGAAATCTAATTGTCAGGCATTAAATGAAATTAGCACCGCTTTTTACGGTTAAAAATGTTTACGATCAACCAGTGACATCTATAAACATCTTAAAAAAAAATTTCAATTCTAAAATTGAGTTTCTCCTTCTGTGAAGACTAGCAGGCAGTTATAAAACATTTGTCCTGTACGCAGACGCTTTTACCTGACATAAACAGAATTTTAAATTGACTGATTACACACAAGCATTCTAAGGATACCTCTGCTAAGTCACCCTAGATTGCTTGCATGCCTGAAGACTCCATGTCTCACTGCACATAGAGCATGTGCATGGTGTCTGTTCCCAACCAGTTAAGAACAATGTGACAATAAATAATTGTTGCCATCTTTCTTTGTCTCTTACAGTGGGGAAAACTGGCAAAACACATGGGAGCCAAAAGAAAATATACAAAGTTAATATCATCTCCCAAATATAAATGTTTTGATTGTTGCTGTGTTATATGAAATTTGCAGAGACTTTCAGAATCAGGATTGTTGAAATGCAGTTTTTTTCCCACTTGTTATCAACTCGGTTTTACTCATCTCTGCAACGGCCTTAAAGAGTACATAGGTCCCCTTTTCCTGCATGTTAGGAGAAGGGATAGATAAAATAAACATTTGAAATAACATTTGTCGCGGGCTGTGTACACTTGATTGTTAACAGTAGGTTTGTCAATTAAGAGGCCAAAATAAGTTGAATTTCTCTAACAACTTTAACTTGGGATCACTGCTGTCAAGTTAGGATCTTATTCCATAGGATGTATTTCTGCACATTCATCTTGAAACCACATTGCTCATAGTAAAAAAATGGTCAACACTCTGAAGTTCCCCCCAGCTACACTCTCAGTGTAGGGTTAGCAGGAGGGACTGGGGCCCTTCACAAAATAAGTGGCATTACGAGGATGGAAGATCATGTGGATATATTGAAGCAACATCTCAGGACATCATCCAGGAAGTTAAAACTTGGGTCTTCCAAATGGACAATGACCCCAAGTAGACTTTCAGAGTTGTGACAAAATGGCTTAAGAGCACAGTCAAGGTGTTGGAGAGGCCATCAAAAACCTGACCTCAATCCAAGAAAACATTTGAGGGTAGACCTGAAAAAATGTGTGTGAGCAAGGAGGCCTACAAACCTGACTCAGTTCCACCAGTTCTGTCAGGAGGAAGACGTCCTGAAACGTTTGACCCAGGTTTAATAATTTAAAGGCAATGCTACCAAATACTAACGATGTATGTAAACTGAGAAATAAAAGCTGAAATCAGTCTTTTTTTCCTACTATTATTTTTACATTTCACATTCTTAAAATAAAGTAGTGATCCTAACTGACCTAAGACAGGGAATGTTTATAGGGTTAAATGTCAGGAGTTGTGAAAAACTGAGTTTGAATGTATTTGGCTAAAGTGTAAACGTCTGACTTCAACTGTATATATGTAGGAAAATAGGTGCAATCAAATAAGGACAAGAATAGAGAAAAACAATTTATGAGTATATATTATTTTCTTGTCCCTTACGCACACTGAGGGCCTCTGTACTGGAGTGTATTTGAACATATTTGGCCAATAAAGCTATTTCTGATTTTAAATGGTCAGGAAGATGATGATGGTCACAAGATAATCAGATTGTCAGACTGTCAGTCCTGCTAGAGGCGACTGGGTCATAATAAGCTGCTTACACAAATGATTCACTGTCTGGGGTTGTGTTTTTTTTTAATGGGAGGACAGTCTCTTTCTTTTAACAAGGTCAAGCTGTCAGACCACCATGTTTTTTATAGTCCCACCCTGTTTCACATTCATACATCAGTTTTTCATGTTCAGAGCTGCCCAGGAAAGTCATTCATTGTTGGCAAGTGGGAGCTGGGCAAAAATGCAGCTCTCTAAGAGGAACAATGAAAGGTTGTATTTGAAAACTCATCATGGTCTGGCTGCAATTTCTAGGATCATATGCAGCAACAACATCAGCCCTGATGAGGTGGCGACTTCAGTATGGAAGAAAATTGTAGCTGTGATACTGTAATTTCAATCTTTTAGCTAAGGTTCATGCTATGAAAGCAAGCATAATTTTACTGCAATTATGATATTCAAGTTGCTTCGAATCAGTCACATTCTGATCAAAATATGCAAGTCAGGTCCAGTAATCAAGCTGTCATACTTCAAGATGAAAAATTCCAACTTGACCATGCAGGATGTGATTTTTGGCAGATCAAACCGTTGGATCGAGTGACTGACAGAACCGGACGGGCCAGAGCTCTGAATGATTTCATTCAGACTTACTTTTTCACAGCAGATCATATCGTGACAGAAAAAGCACAGGTGTCACTGATAGCGTTAAAACAACTGCATTCCATTTAGGTGAGACAATCCCTGGCTTCGGGTGTCGTGCACGCCGGCTCACATCACAGGAACACTTGACAGAACAAAGCCATCATTAACGGCATTTATTTCACATATGCTTTTCCTGGTTGGACAAGTTCAAATTTAAAAGCTTCCAGTGGGAAAATCTCTTGTCAAGTTGGATGATCATGTTTAAAGTGCAGTTAATGATAAGCCTTAAATCCATCAGACTGTAAAACCCTGTGTCAGAGCTACAGAACTTATAGTACTTTAAACATCTGAACGAGCTGTGTTCGGCCACTTGGCGGCAGCAGAAACAAAAATTGTGAACACTGAGTTGATATGGCAAACCTGTTGGCAGATGCTTATTACACATGCAACAGTTACAAAGCAACATAAGAATTCCCCTGGAGTCATGGAGTCACTTGGAAAACTCAAGTCCAAAAGTCACTCTCACCTTAAAACAATGAGGGTTAACTAAAACCTTAAAATGGGAGCTGGACAGTTAAGCAATGAGCTGAAGCTGAAGGGAGCTGCAGATTCAGGTGACAGTTTTCTCTATGAGCAACAAGAATCAGCCATAACACTGTGACCATCTGTACATAGGAGTCAATGCAGCAGTTGGTTGACACTCGTGTCACTCTGCGGCTCACTGTGCATCTTCTATGAATCCGTGTATTTCCATAGTTCTATTGTCAGGAATAGCTCAAATGTGTCAACCATTCAGTGAAAGACATGTAAAAGCAGTGAAAAGTGTGGTCATGAGGACAAGTTAGAAATAATCTTTTAGATATATCCAACAGCCTCCCCACTCGTGGTGTGATATCACCACTGTAGCCGCTGAATGTTTCTCTTCATAGAGACCAGTGTACAGTATTTCTCATTTCAGCCACTTTAACAAAGATTCAAATAGAATGGAATCTTTTGAAAAGGATGATTGAAACTTAAAAGTTTAATCTACAGTAGGTCGACCTCATCATCAGTGAGCCTCGGGCGTCCATGACCCTGTTGTTGGTTCAGTGTTTGTCCTTCCTTAGACACTGTTGGTCAGTACTAACCACTGCAGACCAGGAACACCCAACAAGATCCTCAGTCTGGGAGACATTCTGACCCAGTCGTCAGCCATCACAGTCTGGTCCTTGTCCAAGTCACTCAGATCCTTACGCTTGACTGTTTTTCCTGCTTCCAACACACAAACTTCGAGGACTGAATGTTCACTTGTTGTCTAATATACCCCACACACTGACAGGTGCCACTGTAACAGATAGTCATTGTTATTCATTTCAGCTGTCAGTGGTCATAATGTTATGGCTGATCTGTGTAAATATAATGAACATTGAATCTTAATCTTCAAGCTGCAGGATTTGATATGTTTTTCTTTGTCTGCTATTACAAGATTTAGATTACACTTTCAGATGTCATTCACAAGTCAGCAGAGGAGCCTCTCATTCCTTACCGGCTTTCGCTTTTGCAGACACCACATTTGCCAAGTACAATATAAAAAATGCTGGGAAATACCTCAATGAAACAAAGGAGGACAGTTTGTTGTTCAACATGACTAACCATATGAGACTCCGTAAGGAAGGGACTTTCTGTAGCTTGCCTGCATGAGTGGATGGTGACTACGAGTCTCAGTTCCAATCACCATTTTATGTATTGTGTGTTTTTCTCTGCAAGAAAGCCACCGTCTGCAGGGTGACTTTCCTGCCACTATTTATCTCATTATCAGGTTTTCTGCCACACAAGAACCAAAATAGCTCTGTCACCTTTGAGGAAAACATATTTTGATGACACCACCATAGAAAAAAAAAGGATGTGAAAAAGGGGAGGCCTTTTGCTAGTTAATGGCTCTTGTTACATGGCCTGCAGCGAAGCTGGCAAGGTCTCTCAAGACCATACCAACGGGAAATTGCATTAATCCAGAGCTGGGCCAAAGTCATTCACTCCTTCCTTTATTTAAGGCTTTGCCAGAGTTTTCAGCAGACCACCTCAGCTGTCCTGTAGTGAGGAACAGGAGGTGGGCGGCCTCAGGGCCTGACTGAATCCATTCCATGTGCTCTCTAATTGGTGTAATGACCATAATTATCTGCTGGGGTGCATGTTGTGCAGTGGACGATTAATGGCCTCCAAAGCATATGCAGACAGGCGGAAATCAAGAGAGAGGGGCACCAAGTCAAAGAATAGCTGTGCAGAAAATAAAAGCCATGAGGTTGCAGAGAGAAATGCATCCTGCCGGGTAAGAGTCACAGTGCTGTTGTGTTTTCTGGGTTTTGTTGCTGGTAATGTTAATTAGCATTTGGGGCTTGGTTCTTCTTCTGAAGGAAAATGAATTCATTCTGATGAGGCACAGCTGTATATGGAGCTATACTGTTAAAAGATCAGTGAAAACATCCAAACGCAAGCAACTGCAACCATGACTTTGTTTTGACCGACTTAGATGGCACTACCACTGTGGCCTCCAGAGACTGTACTGAATTCCATTTTAAAAGTTTTCAGTTGATACAAGTAAAGATTTTTAGCCCCGAAAAGGATCATTGTACTGCAGTGGCACGGGCAGAAGAAACATTTTGCAGGCCTGGCACCTCTAAGTATCATCCTATCCAAAAAAACTACTGAGGTGATAGAAACAAAAGAAACTGAAATATTCCTCTTTTATTTTTTATGAACACTACCAAATCATGAACACAGGCTTGGCATAATAGGCATGCAGGTGGCAGGCAGCTGAAATGTACAGACCTAAATAACAAAGCCAAAGGCGAATCAAACCAGAGGACTATCTTCAGACCACCGCGCACCTTCAGTGACCACATCATACTCATCATCAGTATTTGTCATTCATTCAGCTGCCACAGCGGACACATAGCAAAAACGTGCATTTTATCTTACCTAGTGATTAGTGGGAAGACATCACAAGGCCCAGGCTGCGTGGCACTGATTTCAGTAGAATCCAGTGAATCTCCCAACTCGTTCTCCAGTGACAGTTTGTTCAGACTGGTGCCGGTCATTGTTTTAATCCTGTCTTCACTCGTTTCGTGCACTTCCTCCTCCTTCGACCGTGGTGTCTTTAAATACTTCGCCATGAATATTTACTCTGACAAAGTCATCGCCACTTTTTTTTTCCCACTGCAAAATCGGAACATTTACGAACCCGACGCGTACAACGCCGAGCGCGCAAACATGTCAAAGGTCAACCCCGCCTACGCTGATATTACAAACGTATAATTGGCAATAATAGGCTATGGGAAATCCAGAAAAGAAACCACATTCACAATAATTAAAAAGTAAAAACAGCAACAAAACAAAAAAACCCAAGTTTTGTTTGGGTAGGCCTGTGGTCAGCCTGACTCCTTAGTTCCTACCCAGTCTCCTACCCTTGGCTACAGGCTCCTTAATGTGAACTTCACTGATGGGCTGCTGCAACTAGTGATTTCTTTTACATTTAATCATTCATCATTTATTCATTCACTCCACTGACTGATTTATCACATAAAACAAAGAAAAGCAGCAAATCATGACAACTAAGAGGCTGGAACTATAGGGAATGTTTCTTTCTTTCTTTCTTTCTTTATTAAATTATTGGGAACAATGCACAGATATACAGTAGCTAAAACCTAATTTTCATCTGCAGTCCCTGGGCAACAGGTTGTAAAATCATCACATAACACACAAATGTACTAAATTAGAACCTTACACTTTAAATAACAGACACAATAAAACACACTACAAGTTCTAACAACAATTTTTAATCCAGCAAACAGCCATTTCCTATCAGACCCTTAATACTGATGCTGGCGTCCTACTTTGCTAGAAAAAATGACATGATGTTATTTACAGTCACAGGTTAATTTTCTGTTGATCACCTTATTGAGCAGCATCAGCAGTTCCCTTCACTCAGTGTATGTCCTGATGGTCATTCAGAGAATCATTGTTTCATTAAGGGAGGTATTTGTTTACTGTTAAATGTCAAAGCAGGTGGTATAGTACTTGATCCATCAGTAGATGCATATAAAACCACTTCTGTGTGTAATAAATACACATACTACATTCTCAGTCATTTGAGCAGTACCCACTTGCTTGTGCTAATATCACAGCTGATGTCTGTGTTTAGCTGTATGTTTATATTTATGTCATCCTGTACATTAGTTTTCAGTACTGTGTGTGAGTATTGTTTCCTATTCAACCTTTAGGTAGCGTAATGAATTATTGTACAGGTGGTGTGTCTTTAACAAGTGGTGGCACTTACAGTGTCATGCAGTAAATGCCATCAACTTAAGATGGCAGCTGGTTGAGTAAAAACTGCTGAAATGTTCATGCTGAGGTTATAGTGACCATCTGCCTATAACTGCTTTAGCTGCAGTTTATTCTGTACTATTTTATCCTGTTGTCTTACTTTATTTCTGTGTATGTTAACTGTATTTCAGCAAAAGAACATGCTGTCTGTTCAAATTGCCTAAATCGTGTCTAAATAGCCTAGGCCTAAAACTGCTGCAGAACTCTAAAAGACTTCATGTTTTTAAGACTTACAACTGAAAAATTAACCTTGTGACCTTTTTCATAGACTCCAATCCTGCCACCTCAGCTTTGGACCAGACCTTTTAGATAAGATGATGTAAGGTTTGATGAGGGTGAAAATCAAACATTTAGTTTAAATCATGGTCTCGTCTGTAGTTTGATGATTGTCTCCTCCTTGTGTACCTGGAACATCAACTGTGTTGTTAGCAGGAATATGGAGTGAATTAGGCCGGCATTTCAGAATATACAGTCTGCAGAAAGACCGGGCCTATGTCAACAGCAGCTTGTGTTACTGCTCTGCTCTCCCAGCACAAATGTCAGAGGCTGGTCACTATTTGTTCTTTGCAATCTTATTAAGTTCATTAAGACTTTTAATTCTAGCAGATTTGTTTGCACGTGGATTAAACCTGAACAGGAGTTTTGGCAGCAGCCTAATCTTCGGATCAGGACATTTAAGCCTACAATAATTTTAAAGAATTCAGTGAAAATATGAAAATTGAGCTAGGCAGCAGTATGATCTACAAAAGCCCCACCATACTGGTGAGAGAAACAGCACCAGAAAGACGCAGGAAGACCAATATAGACAGAAATTGGAGGATGTGTCTTCTGGTCAGGAACCCGTTGCTAAAATTAGCGAGGATGTAAATTCCTTGCTGTTGCCAATCCGCGTATGACGCTGAGAGCAGCCAGGAGAACATAAAAAAAAAGATGGAAGGGCGGCGGTAAAGGGAGAGGTCATACATGAACTGTTGTGGTGATGTTTTTCCTTCTTCTTTCTTCTTAAATTGACCTTCGCCCTGAGAACAAAGAGAAGCCACAAAAAGGAGGGGGAAAGTTCTGCAAGTGAAAGCCACGGCCCCCACGTGCAATAGTCCACAGGGGGAGGCTTGGGCCCTGGACGCCAAGCCTTCAACACAATCATCACACATGCTATTGTGGCCTGCAGTAAAGCCTGGTATGGCTCAAATCCCCAGCTAACACCCCGCCTCAGCAATGTGCCTCACTCTCCCCCTGCCCTGTCTCTGTCTCTGCATGCACCCCTGTCATTTACAGTGCTAATAACAAGACACAAACCTCCACACATTCAACCCCCACAGAAGGAGGATAATCACATTATAGCCGATGACAGGGACATAAACCAAACTCCTCCAGCAGTAAGCTTGGATGCACTCAGATGAGGATTTGCATAAATCAAACAAGTACAATCGGGAGCTAAACGGTGTGGCTCTGTGCCCCTTTTTCCATCATGGATGGAAGAGCAAGAGAAAAAACTTCACCACACTGTGAAACACTGAGGGAATGGATGGATGGAGATGGAAAATTGTGGAAGACTTTCTTAGTTTACAGTCGCCAGCACTATTTCTAGACATCCTATTGGTTTAACATAGGCAAGAACACAGCCAACGCTAAGTCAAGGACAAAGTGGCAGACTCAAGTTCCCATACTCCATCTACACTGGGCATTTTCATGCTATTTCTCTGCTGACCTGCAGATAAATGCAATACCCAAATATTGACATTCTTATCTGAGGAATGCATTTAAGGCTCTGTCACTTGCATCAATCAACCAAAGCTGTTAATATTCAAAATGCTAGGCGCCAGGGACTTCACCTCCACTGCAAGGTCACAGCGGGCGAGATAAAGTAAAGTAAATCAGTCAAGGTGAAGCACAAAGTCATTGTGGGACATGTTGAGACTTGCTGAATTCTTTGAATTGCACATTTACATTTTATCATAATTGTAGATTAAATATGATAACTCTGTGGCCATGAAATGCTAAATGTTTAGATGAGAAGCATGAAAACAAAGTTAGACCATAATAAAGTAATATCCCTCAAAATTTCATGGTGTCACACTGCAAGTCATTCCCAAAAGCAGACGCAATAGTAACATTTCACAGCATGATCTCTGTTGAATAAATATAAGCATCAGAGCTACATTTGAGATTTTCAAGTTTATCATAGTTGAATATTTGGAGGATCTGATTAGCGAAAATAAATCAAATAAAATACTCTGCAGTTTCTGACAATGATATTTGTGCTTGGTACACACAAGAAATGAAAATGTGTGTGTCTTTGCCCGGACATCAGCTTCCCCCTCACATGTTTATTACAGGTTCCAACAGTGTAATTATGCTACAGCAGCATTATAAGGATATGCAGGTGGAAGTATAAACATCCTGGCACCAGTTAAAACAAACAGATGCATTCCCGTGCTCTGTGATGTCAGTCATACAGCAGGCGTTGCCAAATTTGATTTAAGACTTCACAGCTCCACCAATGCAATTAAGACAATCTTGGGCTAGAATAAATCAATAAAACATGGACATTAGAGCTTTTTAATTAAGAATGAGAGCAACCTTCAATTATAATCCCAGCTCAGTGTTTATCAGGATAAATAAATAAAAGTAAAAATAAATAGACTATTAAATACAGTATAAAACAAGAGACAAAAAGAAAGAAGTTTGACCTTTGATGAAGAAACTCTCAAAAGATGATGGAAAAAAAAAATCTGCTTCGTAATATGGAAAATAATGAAATAACTCAAAATGTACACATTTAATTGCAATCAGTAAAACGAGTCATACAAAAAATTCCCTTTCCAAAGATGAGCCTATCAGTTACAAGAGAATCATAGATACATCTGAAAATACATTAAAAAAATTTCAAGTAAAGGTGGACATCAGTAACACGATTTGCAGTCATCAATTAATAGCCCTGGGGGAAACTGTCCACTATACATGTCCCATTGATCTGGAGAGCAGCCTCATTAAAACAGACAGATCCAAACTTCTGCTGCAAAACAGGCATTTTTTAAATGTCTAACATGAGCCGAGTGCTTAATTGGCAAAGCTTGTAGTTTAATCCTGTCAAGCCAACAGAAAAATGAATATTAGTTTTGCTTCTGCAAAACAGACATTGAAATTAGCAAACCAAACCAGTAAGTATGAAATCATTTCAACCACAATAAGATTGTTTTTTTTTCCCCCATCTGTGCTTTTTTGCAAACTTCTCCCTCTTCCTCTTTATTAATGAGGCATTACAAACAGATATACCGCAGTCTAATTAAAACTTTATGTAATTTACACAATTTCTCACTTCAATACCATTTCCTTTATTTATGCATTTTGTACATTACTGCCCTGTTTCTTGCTATTCTGAGACAAACCAAGTTCATGTGATTCTTGATCCAAGTGCTACATTTTAAGTTCTAAATCTTAATGGTCTTTTTTAATCACCCAAACACAAAGAAAAAGAAAAAGTGAATCTGTATGCAAACAGTACCTCATATATGCTCTCTCTTTTTTCATAACATCGCTTATATGATTATAGCTTAATTTCTGCATGGCGCCAGTAGAAGTAGCAACACCAGGCCAGTCTGTGTTTATGCATCCAAGCAACAGTCTCTATCTCTGGGCCAGCTCAAGCTCATTCATCCAGCCCGTCCTCATTGGTCTAACATGAAATGGATCAGCACCGTTTACAAACTGAGCCAGAGCTGGATTCCACTGCCCTCACACCATCACACTTACTGTGATTCCTTTGTTTGTTTATGACAAGCTCAAGGATGTACTTGTGTGAAGTCTAAAGCCA